GTCACGCTGGGTGTAGTCGCACCTCCACAGATCTCCAGTATCATCTATTGATACTGGTGATGGCTCAAAAGGGCCACCACTTACGAGTTATTCATGCCCGTGCCACCTTTTGGGTGGCTTCATCTTCATCTTAACATATTCATAAGGGAGACATCTCCTGTCATGCAGGGTGCATTCGCACCTCCACAGATCTCCAGTATCAGCTCTTGATACTGGTGATGGCTTAAAAGGGCCACCACTTACGGGCTATTCATGCCCGTGCCACCTTTTGGGTGGCTTAATCTTCATCAATCAATCTGTGGACTTCAGAATATCCTAGTGCTCTAAGAGTTGACATCTCTCTCTGGCATACTAAGCTCTCTGGCTCTGTATACTAAGGGAGATCTCGGCCAAGGCCAATATTCTCAGCACCCTTTACTATTTTGTCTTACGTATTCACTATTTTATTTTATATTGTGCTCTTGCATTTATCTGTTTTTTGATTGCACTGTACATTGTCATTGGACTTGTCTTTCTTTTTATTTGTGTTTAAAGTAAATTAAAGTTCCATTTTTTATACGATTTGTTTTACGTGTTCCTCCCTCTCACTTACCACAGGAAACAAGCCAAGCAGTCAACATTTTTGTTTTTTCTTTCTTTTTTTTCTCTAAATGTGATTAGGCATTAACATCAGCCAAAGTGAGGACTGCATTACCATCTACACTTTCCCGTCACAATATATATAATATAATATATATATATATATATATATATATATATATATATATATATATATATATTATTTTTTTTTTATTTCTATACAAGAAGGTACATTGGGTTTGTGAGAGTTCATAGCATAGTATTTACAATCCTGTAAAGCCACTGGTACGCGCAGCGTTTCGGGCAGGTCCTTAATCTAACAGATAATTTGAAGTAGGTAAATTCTAGCAGAATTAATAAAATGATAACAGATACATTGCAAGAAAAAAATGAGATTAGTAAGTATATTAAAGCACATTGATATATTAAAGCTCTGATTGATTACATTGACAGCTTGATTGGTAATTGAAACAAGATTAATAGGCATCATACAGCAGATTGATAGCACATATAAGAAGACAGTAACGATCACAATGGTAAAGATGTTCGGATTGGGTACATAAAGATTGGGAGATTGGGTAGCAATAGATACAGTGCAATTTTAAAGCAACAAGGTAAAAAACTATGAAAATGAAATTAGGTACTTTTTAGTTTTGTTTTTGAATAACGCAAAAGTTGGACAGCTTTTCAATTCATTAGGGAGTGAGTTCCATAAACTGGGTCCCTTTATTTGCATAGAGTGTTTGCACAGATTAAGTTTGACTCTGGGGATATCAAAGAGATATTTATTTCTGGTGTGGTGATAATGGGTCCTATTACATCTGTCCAGGGATAGTTTCAGAGCAGGATTTTGTAAATGTAGTTGACTCAAGAGAATTTGTGGAGTGAGATTATGGTTACCATATTTAGGGAGTTAAACAAGGGGGCTGAGTGTTGTCTGAAAGCAGAATTTGTTATTATTCTGATAGCAGATTTTTGCTGGGTAATGATGGACTTGAGGTGGTTTGCAGTGGTTGAACCCCATGCACAGATACCATAATTAAGATAGGGATAGATTAGTGCATAATAGAGAGATGAGAGCAGAGTTGGGTACATAATATCTGATTTTGGAGAGTATACCAACTGTTTTAGAGACTTTCTTAGTTATGTGTTGTATGTGGGTACTGAAGTTGAGTCTCTTGTCTAAGGAATAGGCCAAGAAACTTTCCATCATTTTTATTACTAATGTTTACATTGTCTATCTGAAGCTGAATTACATTTGTAGATTTGCTTCCAAATAAGATGTAGTAGGTCTTTTCTATGTTAAGTGTTAGTTTGTTGGTTGACATCCATAAATCAATCCATGACTGTTACATCTAGAAGGGGTCCCATCCTTTCTAGATGTAACAGTCATGGAAAGGAACGGAGGTTCCACACTGCAGTCTACACTAAGGAAACAAACATAGGAATGTGCCTCGATGCCAACAGTGACTGCCCAGACAGGTACAAGAGGAGTGTTGTCAACGCTTACGTCGACCGTGCTCTCAGCCACAGCTCAGGATGGAAGGAAGTCGATGAAGAACTCTGTAGGGTAAGGCAGGTCCTAGTCAACAACGGCTTCTCCACTGGTTTCATTTAAGACATCATAAAAAGGAAAGTGAAACGCCATGCAACCTCTGAAGAGTCAACTAACACAACACCTGTACCCCCTATTAGACTATTTTACAGGAACTTCTTTTCCACAGCTCATAAAACGGAGGAAAGGGTCCTGAAAGATATTGTTGATATGAACGTTATCCCTACAGACAAAAATCAGAAGATAAAATTGACGATTTACTATAAAACCAAAAACACGGCCAATCTACTCATGAAAAACTCTCCAGACACGAAGCAGAACGCCTTAAAAGAGACCAAACGCCTTAAAAGAGACCAACGTCGTCTGTCTTCAAATGCCCACTTGGGGACTGTAAGCCCCAAAGAACTCAGTATATAGGCAAGACAACATCTCTTTCCAGGCGATTAACAATGCATAAGCAACAGGCCTCCATTAAGGAACATATAATCTCTTCCCACAACCAGACCATCACCAGAGAAGACTTAACAAACAACACAGAAATCATTGATAGATACAGCGATAACAGGCGGCTTGACATCTGCGAGGCACTACACATCAAAAAGTCAACACCAGCAATCAACAGCCAATTAATGCACAACTATATTCTACCCACTTCAAGACTGCGTACCAATATAGAAGCATCAAGAGGAAGTATGGGCCAATAGAACCTTTACCTTTGCAGTTACTTCCATTCTTCCCTCTCATTTATGCAATTTATGTGTAAATCCCGAAAATTAACACGTGATGAAAAATGTGACAGTGTCAGACCACGAGGAAGAATTGAAACAGGAATTTCCTTAAGTACTTTCGTATATTAATACATCTTCAGAAGGAATGATTTGCAAGTCAAGTATTGGACATATATATATATATATATATATATATATATAGGCAGGAGAGAGAGAGGTGAAGTGAGGCGAGGTACAATGAAAAATTAATGGGAATTAGGTGGATACAAATTAGAGCCGCATAAGAACTGCAGAAGGCCTATTGGCCCATACGAGGCAGCTCATTGTATACCCACCAATAGGCCCACACATGGATAATAATAGCATAAGATAATAAATATGTACAATGAATTAGTGACACAAATGTGTATCACATTGATACATATGATATCATGTATATTGCAAATGTTTTTTAATAGCGAAAAATGCCTTGCATGATGGGTATAACAGGCCGCATCAGACCTACCAAATCAACATTACCTTGCGGCAGATTGATGAAAAAAAGGACTTTTGAGCCAGAATCCATCATTCACTGAAAGTTGCACAAGTGGGATCTGCAGTAAATTTTTTTTTTTTTTTTTTTTTTTTTTTTTGAGATATATACAAGTGTCGTTACATTCTTGTACAGCCACTAGTACGCGTAGCGTTTCGGGCAGGTCCCTGGAATACGATCCCCTGCCGCGAAGAATCGTTTTTTCATCCAAGTACACATTTTACTGTTGCGTTAAACAGAGGCTACAGTTAAGGAATTGCGCCCAGTAAATCCTCCCCGGCCAGGATACGAACCCTGACATAGCGCTCGCGGAACGCCAGGCGAGTGTCTTACCACTACACCACGGAGACTGTTTAAAATTAGCTAACCGAACCCTAAGAATAGTCAAGCGGACCTTTGATTTCAAGGAAAAGTAGGTTGTTATACGCCCCCCCCCCCCTCACTTGGATTATTTTATTCAAGCATGTGTGTGCTTGATCTTCAGAAAGACATGGCTGTTTAGGAGAAAGTTCAACATCTGGCAACAATAATCATTTCAGAACTAAACCAATTCTCACACCAGCAACGGTTGAAGGCCATAGGGCTAACAACACTACAAACCAGACCATGTTTAACCAGACAGGACAGGGTTGATCTCATAGAAACTCTTAAAATACAAAACAATTTGGGAATATGAATCCAAACCACTTCTTCTAAAGGTCAGATGTAACATAAACAAGGAGCAACGGTTTCAAGCTCAACAAGCCACAATATAGGACAGAAAACAAGAGATGCTGTTTCAGCCACAGGGTTATAAACCCATGGAGCCGCCCACCTGCCAAAGCCGTAAATGCCAAAACACTGCTGAATTTTAAAATCCAGCTCAATAAAATCATCAGGACAAATGGGGGGACCTTTGACAAGCTGCCGGCTTCCTGTCCTCGTCGAGGCCACTAGAGATATAGTGGCCCTCAGGTAATTTAAGGTAAATTGTTTATCTGAAGGTATATTTAATTAGGTAATTTGTTTCCAAATAAAACGTAGTGTAGGTTTTTTTTGTGTTGCGAGCTTGTTGGTTGACATCCATGAATGGATTTTTTTCAACTCATTATTTACAATATTATTAACAGCGTGTGTGGACTGGTGTTTGAAAAGTTAGTTTAGTTCATTTATTATGCACCCCATACCCATCTTGTGGGCGGTAGTGGAAAGGGTTACAGAGGCACATAATGGGCTCAGGGACTGAACGAAAGATTAAGGTATTGTAATCAAATATTATACGTTTAAAGATCGTTGAGACATAATTTGTTAACATATGAATAAATGAACAACTGTATTTTCACAGTTTATCAAACTAACATGTCACCCTGATATCAGGAGGTTCTAACACATAGAGTGAGTTTATTACTCACTGGCATTATAACTGGCATCAGTTGAGTCAGTTATATACAATATTAACTTATACACCCCACAGTCATTCAGTGGCCGGCGGCAGCAATCTCCAACATGAAAAAAATAATAAAAGCAATTCGCATAATTAATTGTATTGCATGCAATAGCACTGGCCATCCTTGCACGAAAAGGACGTTACAATGGGATAAAATTAGAGATTATAAGATGAGAAATATAGGAGAAATTTGCCACATAGAATGGAGAGGAGTTACGTGTACGAGCCCTGAGGGACGTAGCACAACCGACCAGTCTTTCCCGCGACGTCGTGGCTCAGGGAGGTAGACGTACACTGACCACTTTACACCATCACAGCTTACCAGGTACTTGTACGTCATAGCAACGTATATGTGTCCACTCTTGTCAGATATGTATGGCAATGTGGGTAATGTAAAGGTTACAGTGTGGCGAGCAGAGAGCAACAGAAGGGGGTCATTTGAACCTTGGCACATGGCTGCATGGTCCCCCACAAGTAATAACAACACGCACTTACCGTACATCATTTACTTATTCCTTTAACGAGTCACGTATTTTGTGACCTAAGTATATAGCAAAGTTGACCACTTTAGGTCGAATAATGTACGTGTTAATCTTGGGGTGCGGACCTTATGGCCCAGGCGACCAGAGCATGGTTTAGGGATATAACATGATTGCGGCCGGTATTTGATATTGTTTTTGCCATCAGTCTTCTTTTTACTTGAGAAAGATCAAACTAGGGGGAAGAGACCAGAATCCTACTACTGTATTTGTTTCATGGACCATTCCCTCAGACTATTTTTTTTTAAGCACTGCACTTTATATATATAAAATATATATATAATATTGTGAAGACCTACATGTAAAAAACTGATGAAAGGGGAGGGCCCATATAAGCCCTGTAGTGAATATATGGGCCTGTGGGCCACTCCAAGCAACACCTTGGTGGACCAAGCTCTCACAAGTCAAGCCTGACCTCGGGTTGGGAATTAGAACAAGTCGCAGAACCCCATCCATGTACAATCCCGGTAGAAGCCACCTGATTCCTCCTCCCCCCATATGAAAAGGCACTAGATACGACACTGAGGGGGAACAGACAAATGGTACGTTTATGTTCTAACAACAAAAAATTAGTCTATTGTTGGGTTGGGTGGAGTTACTCTGGCTTCTAGGGAAGATTAGCATGCAAAACACACTGTAGACCCAACCCAATTACAGTGACATCACATCTCATAAAATCCTCTTACAATTATCTTATTTCATTAGACTTGGTTTGTTGAGACGAGTATATGATGTACAAAACTACTCTTGAGGCACTTTTGAACCCTCCTTAGATATGGTGACTGCCAGGGATACTACATTTAATAGATTATAAGGCTCGGTCAGTAAGGGACACATCCTTTGATCTGCCAGATAGGTTAAAATATTCCACCAATGGTATAAATGGCTACACATATGTATATTACATATACAATACATTGAATTTGTGCTAATAATATTCATAGACATAGGGAAACTTGCTAGTTTCCAGACATTAAGGTTATTGACGTTCTCGGCGGATTAGAAAATATGGTATGAATCGAAAGAGATGTTCTTTAAAATTACACTATTTTAATATTGTCAATGCTTGTCAGAATAAATCCCAGTATTCTGTTTGCTTTATTCTGTACATGTATGCATTAATTTTTAGTCCTAAGTGCCTAAATCATGGTTCCTAGATTTTTCTTGCATTCAGACTTGACAGTTTCAACACGACGTCATCGACGTTGATGTCGTTGACGTCAACAATTTTGTTATCTGGATTTATTTCCCCACTTTTTGTTTCATCTGCAATGTTGCTGTTCAGTCCTGTGTGTAAATCATACATATGGTAAACAATAGGGGCCCAGGTCAGCTCCTTGAGGCATACTATTTACAACTGTTTTCCATTCAAACTTAATTCTCTTTATACTAACCCTTTCCTTGATATAACCAAGCTCTAATCAAACGAAGGATAACCCTTTTCCTCCCCTTTCCAATGCCATTTGCCTCTTGACTTTCTAAGAAGTTTCATGGGTCAGTATCAGCAACTTTGCTGAAGTCAAAGTACAGAATGTCACAATCCCTGCAACTGTCAACTACATACTTGGAATGTACTGTGCTGGGAAAGAATGAGTAAAGTTGTTGAACATTAAAGGCCTTTTGAGGCCTGGTCGAGGACTGGGCCGTGGGGACGCTAAGCCTTGAAATCATCTCAAGATAACCTCAAGATTAGTAAAATCATGTTGACCTTTAGTCCTTTATTAATGCATTTTCAAGATAAAAATTAATGGGTTTTTCAGTTATGAGTTAAAGCATTTCCATCAATAAATATTAAACTAATTGGATGATTGTTCAATGCAAGTGATTTATCTCCTTTAAAAGTTGGCACCATATTTGCAACCCTCCATGATTGTGGAACTGTATGACTGTTGATTTATTAAATATGCAAGACTAGTTAGTGCTCTCTATGCTCTTCTTTATATTCTTTAGGAACCTTGGCAAATACTGTCTGGCTCTGGTAACATGATTGGGCTTTAGTTTTCTTTAATAACTTCCTCTAGTATAACCACTTAGTCAACTTGGGCTCCCCCTCAGTGGCTTTCCAAGCTTGCTACCTGGTTAGCTCCAAGCCTAACATACCCCCACCAGAACCTTACTTGCTTGATGGGGTTCTGGGAGTTGTTCTACTCCCCAAGCCCGGCTCGAGGCCAGACTTGACTTGTGAGAGTTTGGTCCACCAGGTTGTTGCTTGGAGCGGCCCACATACCCATCACAGCCCGGTTGCTCTGGCACTCCTTGAAGAAAACAATCTAGTTTCCTCTTGAAGATGTCCTTGAGAGTTATCAGTGCTTATTGAAGACTATAAACAGACTCTGGTCCATTTATTTGAGGCAAAGGAAGTCTGAGGATACTAGATCAACCCAGACAAGAAGGAAACCCCCCCCCCCCCAGAAAAGTAGAGCATCCCAAAACAAACAACTGAATGTAGAAATGTTAACATCCCTGACAACTATGTACACACTTGTTAACCAGTTCCAGCCAATATTTGCAGTACTGTACTGTAGTTACATTTCCTCACCACCCGATGGCTATCCCAGTAGCCCAGGGCTCTACCTAGCTGTCCACCTCAATCATTTACCTGATGTGATCTTGACTGGAGCTCCTCATGCCCCTAGACTCTTCACCATTTATGTTTGGTGCTGGTTAGCTTGTATGCTTTCTTGGTTGGGCTTGGTGGAGCCGCTTCCTTTCTATTGGCGTTGACACTTCATCTTTGCTGTCTTGGAGGTTGTCATGTGACTTTCTCCTCTGGCCTGCTGCTTCTCCAGAGCCTTCCTGGCCTTTTGATCATTTCCTTTCTTTATTGACTTCTAATTTTTGTTCCCTTTGGTCCTGGATCTTTTCTTTACTGTGATGTTTGTTGACTCACTTTTCACAGTAAGGTTGGGGAGCTTCCTGCTTTCCTTAAGAAGTGTCTGTATATTTTGGTCCAGAGATGTTTTCTTCGTTTGCAGCTGTTGCTTTCTTTTTAGCAATGCATGTGACAGTAGAATTTTGCAGTTTCAGGATTTTGGTTTATTCAGTCAAGGGTGCATCCCTTGACTGCTAAACACTCCTTCCTCTTTCCCCCCCCAGTATGCCCTGTTTTCCTTTGTGCTGTTGTTAAATAACTTGGGGAGCCACTGTCCACCCAGAAATCAGGTGTTGATTGAATGAAACATAATATTTGTTCCTGTGACGGGTTGTGGTATTGCAGCTATAACCAAGATGGTATGGCTCTCCTTCACACAAATAAAAAATGCTGCTATTGACCTGAGAATACTTGGCTATTATTATATAACAAATCAAATAAGTACTGTAATTGAAAGTTCAATTCTAATGCAATACAAGAATATACTGGTGGTGCTGAAGACACCTACCATACCACCACAGCATTCAGCATAAGACGTTGGCTGAAGGCAGGCGGCATTGCAGGAGGCTAAGGTGATCCAAGAGCACTAAGAGACTGGCTCTCCAGGGAGGCGGTGCCCTTTATATAGTCCGGCGGTGATGACTCTCATCCGGTATCAACGCAAGGTGGACATCTGGTCAACTAGCAAACTGCTAGTTTGTGGCTGGTGGCGCCTTTATGTTGAGGCGTCCCACTGCTAGTTGAAGGTGGCTAACTGCTTGTTTGTGAAGGCAAACTACTGGTTAGCTGAGGCGCTCGGCTCGCCACCGAGTTGTACCAGGCCGTTCCAGGCCCTGTGGGATATGGAGAGGTGAAGAGGTGGCAGGACTGATTACTCATCTGGGCTGGTGTAGAGGTGGACTTCCAGTGCAGAGGCATTGAAAGCGAGTGGAAAAGGCAGTTCCACTACTATGCAGGGGATTCACGTGACATTCCATTCACAGCTTCCCGTTTCTGCCCTTCCCTTATGGGCTTTTGGATATCATCATTGGGTGGTGCAAGATGGGCTGGTCAGCTGACTAAAGCCCTGGGTTGCTGGGAAAGCCATCTGGTGGTGGAGTGTGTAACTAACTGTTGGTTGGAACTGGGTAATGAATGTGTCAATAGTTATCAAGGTTGTCAATGTTTGTACATGCAGTTTCTTGTTTTGGGGCACTACTTTTCTGGTAGTTTTTCCTCTTTGTTTAGGCTGATCTTAATACAGTATCTCCATACACTCTGCCTCTAATGAGTGGACCAGGTTCTTTTTCTGGTGTCTACTGGATGTTTATAACTCAGGGGCCTAGTGGAGTACATGTATGTTTGGCTTGGAGCTAATCAGGCAGGTAGCTTGAGGAGCCATCAAGGAGACTCCAGAAAGAGCCATTTAATTATATTCATTTTTTTTTTAACACTTTTAGTACTGTACTGTATTTGTAGTTTGATGATATGTACCAGATATGTATCTATAATTCTGTATCTGTGCTTGGTATAGAAACTAGTACTGTAGGCTATACTGTATACAGTATATTGTATTTCAAGAGTATGTTTTTCATAGTGTGTGTGTTTTTATTTTCAGGGCTTGGTGTTGAAGTGAAATGGTCATCCAGTTCAAGTACCAGTGGAAACACTACAGAAAAATGTAGTGAAGATGATTACTCTCGGCTATTATGTATTGTAAGGAAGAACAAAAGAAGACTTTTAATAATTTAATAAATTATAATTATACTGATGATCAATCAATCAGGAATATTAATTGAAAATGGATTTGCCCTTGAAACCTCCCCCTTTAATGTCATTGACACCAAAGAAAAATTTACATTATTATATTGGACGAGTGAGAGCATTTTGGGAAGATAAGATATTTTTCTCTGATCAAAGGAATGTGGCTATAGTAAACATACAAAATTTGTATCTCCATGGAAAACGGGCAACTAGGGAAGATGTGGTTTATCTTGAAAAGAGGGTATCTACTAGCGAGTGGTATGGGGCACCAGAATTTTATTCGTACGTCAGTCATTACCCAAGTGAGGTTCCATACTCCTGGCCATACAAACTCTCTGGAAAGGTTATGTGGCAAGCCAGTTATGCTTGGACCGGGTGTATGCCCGAGTTCATTGAAAGAGACTGTCAAAATGATATTGTTTATATGCCTGTTAGTTACTACACAGGAAAGGTTATCAGATGTTTTGAAGATAAAATCCTTTTTGGAGACACAAGAAATAATGTAATGGTAAATTTAGAAGATTTCTATATTTTTGGGGAAAGAGCCAGCAAGAAGGAAATGGCAGTGGGATTTAATAAATTAGATCCTATTATCCATGCATATGTTACAAAACTGAAAGTACTTGCAGGTGCCAACACCAAAATTATAGGGCCAGAACCTAATTTACCTACATGGCCCAAACAGCATTATACTTCAGACACATGGGTGGCTAAATATGCCTGGCAGGGAGAAATGCCAGAAGTAGTGAAAAGGCAAGTGGGAAGGTTCTATATGATACACATGAACCAGTGGGATAATATAGGGTTTATTCCTTGGGTGAAGGGTATACAGTCAGGATTTTATAACACTGAAAAAAGAGAAAATACAGGCAAGAGAGAAATATTAAAACAGCCTGAAGAAAAGGAAGACGGCGAATCGAAAATCAGCATAGACACAGCATTTATACCAGTTGAGCAAGAAGCGGGCATAATGAAAGGGTCATTGTTATTGGCCAACCATCACCAAGGACTTTTAACAAGCTTTGTAGATGTAATCGCCTTTACTAAAGAAAATTTTTATGTAAATGGTGAAAAATTTAGAAGCCAAATGTCTCTCTCGGATTTCTTTAAAAGTAGAAAAATTCCATTAACTGCTTGGGTAGTGTCTCTTGCAAAACCAAAAGTTATATTTCACATTAATGTTGTTTGGCGTGCTGTTTGTGTTTGGTATGGTGATACGCCGAAGAACTTGGAAAGTCTCAAGAAAGAATATTTGGAAGGGAAATTAACTGGAAATTTAGTTGAAACTATCAATTCCAGCTCAGTGAAAAAATTTACTCATTTCATAGGAAATATTACAAGTCTTTCCTTTGCTTCAGGTGTTTTAAAAAGCAAGGTTTCTCTCGCACAAACGGTTAAAATTTCCTTTAAGAGGAGAACTTTGTACATGTATGGTTATAAGTTTCACTCCAGTTGTCGCCTTCTTGATAAGCAACAAATATTGGAATCTTTTACGTGGTCTGTATTGGCTTTCCCTATTGCATCAGAAAATCACCCTGGCACTCTTCAATACCATGCAATTGCTCTGTGGCAGTTTCAGTATCAAAACTATATTACCATGAACCTTTTTAGAATAATTGCAGAAGCCAATGATCCCAAATCTGATCTAAATGAGAGTAGCACTAACTTTGGAAACTGTTCTTTTGGGAAAGAGGAATTGGGTCACCATATGTCTGGATGGATTGTAATGGTTTCTGAATATAATGGTATCATACAAAGTGGAAGTAATCAAGTTGAAGCTACTTATATTGTTTTCAACAAATCAATCCTCTATGTGGATGGAGAATTATTACCTGACCATGTATCTTTGAATGCAGTTGATAGATATCGTCAGTGTAATGTATATGCTAAACCAAAACCAGGTACATATTTTGAGGGACTCTTGATAACAATGGAGGCAAGTATGGTGTGGATTGGGAAAAAACCTTTTATTTTGGAATCTCCAATAAAAGGAACAGCTAATATAAAAGATAATAATATACAATGTGGAAATGTGAAAAATATATTGGAAATGGTATTGTGTGCAAAGCCTGAAGAGAGTGAAATTTCAGCAGGAAGGAAAAATGCTCTTGTAGAGTCATGCACAAATGAAGGGTCATTGATGAAAACTGAAGATAACAAGCCAGCTATTGGACTTTATGCAATTGAAGGCATTGTAGCAGGAACTGTATTAATAACAGACAGTCAACAAGGACTAATGGTTTGCTATAAGAGCATTGTGGCTTTTAATAGCAAAAACTTTTATATAGATGGTGTAAAGTTTGATGAGCAATTTACATCCCTTGTAGAGTATTTTTCAAACAAAAATATACCTATAAGAGCTTGGGTGGTGCCTTTGAAAGAACCTAGAGTATTATTTAATTGTCAGGTTGTTTGTGAGGCTGTGTGTGTCTGGATTGGGCAAGAGCCAGCTGAACTTAAAAATCTTGAAAGTGAAAAGCAAATAGGAACGTTACTAAAGGAATCTGAAAATGATGAGGAATCTCATTTTCCGGTGGTTGTGTTCACTTACTTGCTAGGAAGTGTAACTAATCTCTCTGCATCAACTGGGTTGATAACCTGTGAGACTCCTCTTGGTAGTGTGAAAGTGGCATTTTGGAATAAGTCGCTGTTTCTGAATGGAGCCAAGCTGCCTTGTGGTAAAGATTTGCAGACTAACAATGACACTTTAACATCGTCCACATGGTCTATGCTTGCATATCCCATTGCACTGAAAGAAATTCTAGGTGAAACAATTGCATATTGTGCTTTGGCAGTTTGGCACTGTACAGACCAGCATAAGATAAGGAATGAGCTTTCACAGTTAACATCCACTAAGACTCAAGATTTACCATTTTACATCTTACCAATTAATATTCAGAGAGCAATTACAAAGGGAACTATGGCTATTGAAGGATCAGTTGCAAATTCAGGAACCTTAATGTGTGGCTGGATAGTTTTTACTCAAAAAAGTTTTGGCATTATTGAGTGTGTCGATGACAATACCCAGAAGTGCACAAATGTTCTCTTTCACCGCACCATGCTATGGATTGATGGGCAGGCTGTTGATTCCAAGGGGGATCTATGTCTGATTGACCGTTCATTGCAGTGTACTCTGTACACTGGTACACACCGTGAACGTGAGTTGTGTGTGTGTGGCTACGCAATAAGTTGTATTGCTAGTGTGGTATGGATGGGCAAGAAACCTCGAAGGATTACTGCTGGACCATACTCATTTTTCAGTTCATCTAAACTACAATTGAAAATTGTCAAAATGGACGAGGCAGAAAAAAATGTTGAAAACAAAGTCCTCCCAGAACTTTCAGAAGCAACAATTATGCAGATTTTAGAGGAGTCTGGAGTTGATGAAATACATGACAGGTTAGGAGATGAAAAAGAGGAGCCAGTCCAAAAATACTGTGGCAAGCACATAACTGGGCGGATTATTCAGAAGTGTAAAGGGGGTGGAGTTGCTCAGTGGCATAGCATCCAGCTTGGGGGTGAAGTATATATTGAATTTTCTCGTCAAGATGTGTATGTCGATTTAAGTCCTGTGACTAAGAAGACTAAAATGTCGGCTCTCGAGTCTCGGCCATGCAATTTCTATGTCATTCCAGTACCTCACCATGAAGTTGGTGAATATACTATTAGTTTAGCTGCAACTTGTGGCTGGATAGGCAGTAAACCATCACATATCCCTCCCCCAGGAACACAGGAATTGGTTAAAATTGATCTGAGTAATGTTCATGTAACTCCTGCCTCTGTGATACAACAGCAGAATTCGTGCTCTCCAAACATTCAGAGCGGCATAAATTCGGCACAACCTGGAGCCGTTCCCAAAGATAAAAATCTTCAGGTTTTGGGCATGAATGGTCAGTCTAAAAATCAAAGTGTATATGATTCTCATAAAGATAAGAGCTTAATAGATAATACAACCAGCTCTTCTGCCAATCCACATTCTCATGATAAAAATCGCAGTAAGATTTGGGAAGAAGATATGAAAGAAAACCATTTGAGAGGTTCCATAATAGAACTCCACTCAAATGTTGGCAGACTTCAAGGTGCAGATGGAAGCCAACATTATTTCTCACGTGACCATTGTTATTTGTATGGTGTCAGCCTCCGGTGTGTTGAGCTGTGGCATGTTCTTGTTCAAGGTGAGTAATGCAGAACTTTATTATTACTTTGCTCAGAATTTTTTTTTTTTTCTGTGCAACCATATCTGTCGGCATTTTAGGAGATCTTAACTGCCAAATCACATGTTCTGCTTAATTGCAGAACAAGTGCTTAATTGTACATAAACACTTTAATTTTTGCATAAATATGCCTTTTATGTAATTTAACTAGCAATTAGCTATCAGCAGAATTAATTTGTCAAAGTTTGGATTTGATGATATATAGATGTCATGATTGATGATCCAAGATGTGTTAAGGGGCCAGGAGACTGATTTCTCAACCTTCCTCAAATACTCAAACTTTTTTGTGCATAATCTGCATGGTGAATGCTCCAACTTTTAAGAATGGTAAAATATCATAACAGGAAAAAAAATTGAAATTTAAAATTTCACAACTTCAAATTAAGTTGATGAATTTAATATTTCACCAACTAATATTTTATTCATTATGGGTTTAATGATTATGCCATCATTAGAATGGCATATAACGTTCATTTTCCTCAATTTAAAACTTGAGTTTGAGAGTAATTTAACGGCTTGTCTCAAAGTTGAAAATCCTCTTTATGGAGAAAAATGAAGGTAAAGTTCTCGACACTAAATATGATACTACGTAGTTCGAATTTGTCATATCTTGTAAGTTTTAATCAATATTGCTTGGCATTCTTACTCAAATATGTGAAAGTTGTAGGTCAATATGTGTTGAAATAGTCAAGAAAAATAATCCCCCTAAAAAAATAGGGATAAAGATAATGGGTTAATAAGGATAATAAGTATACTGTGCTTTAAATAAGTGATAAGCCTGCATATGGTTTCCATTCTTCAATACCACCTAAAGAGACAAAGAGAATACAGTAGTTTGGAATTGTACATTTTTTGTAAAAAAAAAAAAGTCAATTTCTGCCACCTGTAACTGATTAACTTGTTTACCAGTTTCGTTCACCCTTCACATGCATAGTGACGGGTATGCATTCCCCAAGATGTAGAAGCTACAACCAATCATAAACAAAGATAAAAAATTTTTTAATTTGGTCCCTCCCCTCCCCCTCTCCCAAAAATTGTTGGACATTGGTAAAGTTAACAGATACTGGCATTGGGCATTGTATTTATGATATATAACAAAATACAGCATAACAACACATTTGCTCATTATTATTTGTTATGTATTACTCAGTAATGCTAGAAAAGCACCAGCTGCATATCCACTTTGTGGACCCTCTTTACTACTATTCTTCTTCTGTGGGTCGGACAGGTGCTTGTATCTCATTATCACTGCATTATCCCTCGGTTCCAGTTAATTTAATAGGAGATGTTCGCCTTATAATCAGAACATTTTATTTTTTTTACATACTGTATTCATATAAAATCCATTTCTTAACATATTGGAATTAAATTTTCACAAAGCTGTTGATAAATAATTGGAGATTTGTTTATAAGTAATTTATAAACATTTATATTCATTTATAAGTAATTTTCATTATATTCAAATATATTTGGGTCTCCCAGCCCCTTAAGTAGTGTAGTCATCTACTGTAAATTAATTTTGGATGCCTTGTAACCGAGACTTGCTTAGAAAACAGTGCTCTAACCTCGTCTTACTTCCATCTGTATACTGTACCTATATATTTTTAGTTATACAAGTAATTAATTTGAAGTCATGTTCATAAATGCAAATTTAATTTAGTACTAAAAGGCAGGCTGTTTTTAAGTATGCATAATGAAATATAATACTATAAGAAGAGTTTTTGTATTGATTTATTTCGTAATTTTTTAGGCGAGGCTGTGACGTACACGACAAGTGAGATCAGCCCAGGAACAAGCAAAGTGCAGGGAGTATGGGTTGGGGCCCAGAAGATTGGTGATGTGCAGAAAGCTGCTGCACACATATATGAATGGTGCAAAAGAAATTTAGTCCCTGATGGGGCTCGTGATTTATTGGTAGGTTTATATTGCTAACAAATTAAGCTCTTCAAAAATGTTAATTTGGTATCACTGTTTGTCTTGTTAGGGCTTCCATAATGTGGACAAGTGGTGCAAGGGCCTGGTACAGTATACCTAAACAGATGCATCTGCAAGTACAGTGGAACCTGTACAGTTTTGAGCTGCCTTACTCTGATATAATACTCTGCTAGAGTATTGCTTGTTTGCTCTAGTTCTGCTCAAGGAAATGGGTGTGTTCAGAGTTCATGTGGGCAGTCATTTTATTACATTCCATGCTAGTCCACATAGTCTAGATGATTTCCTTCTTTCTTGGCCCCTTTCCGCTGCAGCGTGGCCTCGGGGCACTTGTCTTTTGACTGGCTTTGCTTCAGTTGGGGTTTTTGTCTTCCTTTTGGTTCACCTCGTGCTGTGGTTGGTTCCGGGCTGGGGTTTTGTGCTGGCTAGGTTGTTTCGTTTTTTCTGGACTCTGGTTGTGTGGGGGTCCGCTGATGGCATTTCTCGTCATGGCAGTGGTGTAGGGTTCTTGACGGTTCATTTCTCTTACCCTTGTTGTCTTTGGTGGTCAATGTTTTCTGGGTGCTTTCCTGGGTTGTGGGTAGGTTGTGGCTTTGTCCACTGTGTTTGACCATTTGTTGGGTTAAGGGTTGCACTTGAGGGTTCTAGTGTTCTCAGATCTTGGCGGCTTGTTACTTGGTTATTGTGCCATGGCCGTGACGAGCCTGTGTAGTTTTGAGTCACTTTCCTGTCTGTTTCTCCTTCTTGGGGTTATGGTCTTCTTTTTCTTCACTCTTGTTGTTTTTCCCCTTGTACTTTTATTTTGTTTTGTGGTGAGATAGCAATAGGGAGCTGCTGATGGAGTCTTACCAGAGAACCAACATCGAATGTAATGAAACTCCTCTTTCTGGTGGGTTATTTTGCAGCTCACCATTCCCAATTTTAGGTGCATTGAGGGTCTTTTGGCCTTTGATTAAAGACTGGCAATGTAGGGAGGTAGAATAATGTGTCAACTGGATCTTGAAGTACCAGGAGGAGGTAGCAGCATTATAACAGTGTTTTCAGTATGGTTGAGAGCGGCCTGGCTACTAAAATTACAAGCTTCCAGGCCGCTCACAACCATTCTGACGACATTGATCTACACCCTCATCATCTCTGGTGACCACAGTGATCTAGGCATTTGGCTCCCCCACTGCTCTACCTGTTGTTCACTGGTACCTGCTACAGGTCAGTCACTTAGCAGTCATCTCCTTCCTGTCCAGTTTCAGTTCACGTAAGTTCGTGTGCATATGCACCTATTTTTATGCATTTTTAGAATTAGGTTGAATTGTGTTTTAAATGGATTAACATGTCAGATACTTGATAATGTATGCTTGGGACCAGGTGTATTGTGTGTTAATTTGGTATCACTGTTTCAGTCTTGTTAGGGCTTCCATAATGTGGATAAGTGGTGCAAGGGACTGGTACAGTATACCTGAACAGATGCATCTGCATGTACAGTAGAACCTGTACAGTTTTGAGCTGCCTTACTCTGATATAATACTCTGCTAGAGTATTGCTTGTTTGCTCTAGTTCTGCTCAAGGAAATGGGTGTGTTCAGAGTTCATGTGGGCAGTCATTTTATTACATTCCATGCTAGTCCACATAGTCTAGATGATTTCCTTCTTTCTTGGCCCCTTTCCGCTGCAGCGTGGCCTCGGGGCACTTGTCTTTTGACTGGCTTTGCTTCAGTTGGGGTTTTTGTCTTCCTTTTGGTTCACCTCGTGCTGTGATTGGTTCCGGGATGGAGTTTTGTGCTGGCTAGGTTGTTTCGTTTTTTCTGGACTCTGGTTGTGTGGGGGACCGCTGATGGCATTTCTCGTCATGGCAGTGGTGTAGGGTTCTTGACGGTTCATTTCTCTTACCCCTTGTTGTCTTTGGTGGTCAACGTTTTCTGTGTGCTTTCCTGGGTTGTGGGTAGGTTGTGGCTTTGTCCACTGTGTTTGACCATTTGTTGGGTTAAGGGTTGCACTTGAGGGTTCTAGTGTTCTCAGATCTTGGCGGCTTGTTACTTGGTTATTGTGCCATGGCCGTGACGAGCCTGTGTAGTTTTGAGTCACTTTCCTGTCTGTTTCTCCTTCTTGGGGTTATGGTCTTCTTTTTCTTCACTCTTGTTGTTTTTCCCCTTGTACTTTTGTTTTGTTTTGTGGTGAGATAGCAATAGGGAGCTGCTGATGGAGTCTGACCAGAGAACCAGCATTGAATGTAATGAAACTCCTCTTTCTGGTGGGTTCTTTTGCAGCTCACCATTCCCATTTTTAGGTGCATTGAGGGTCTTTTGGCCTTTGATTAAAGACTGTGGCAATGTAGGGAGGTAGAATAATGTGTCAACTGGATCTTGAAGTACCAGGAGGAGGTAGCAGCATTATAACAGTGTTTTCAGTATGGTTGAGAGCGGCCTGGCTACTAAAATTACAAGCTTCCAGGCCGCTCACAACCATCCTGACGACATTGATCTACACCCTCATCATCTCTGGTGAACACAGTGATCTAGGCATTTGGCTCCCCTACTGCTCTACCTGTTGTTCACTGGTACCTGCCACAGGTCAGTCACTTAGCAGTCAACTCCTTCCTGTCCAGTTTCAGTTCACGTAAGTTCGTGTGCATATACACCTATTTTTATGCATTTTTAGAATTAGGTTGAATTGTGTTTTAAATGGATTAACATGTCAGATACTTGATAATGTATGCTTGGGACCAGGTGTATCGTGTGTTAATTTGGTATCATTGTTTCAGTCTTATTAGGGCTTCCATAATGTGGATAAGTGGTGCAAGGGACTGGTACAGTATACCTGAACAGATGCATCTGCATGTACAGTGGAACCTGTACAGTTTTGAGCTGCCTTACTCTGATATAATACTCTGCTAGAGTATTGCTTGTTTGCTCTAGTTCTGCTCAAGGAAATGGGTGTGTTCAGAGTTCATGTGGGCAGTCATTTTATTACATTCCATGCTAGTCCACATAGTCTAGATGATTTCCTTCTTTCTTGGCCCCTTTCCGCTGCAGCGTGGCCTCGGGGCACTTGTCTTTTGACTGGCTTTGCTTCAGTTGGGGTTTTTGTCTTCCTTTTGGTTCACCTCGTGCTGTGGTTGGTTCCGGGATGGAGTTTTGTGCTGGCTAGGTTGTTTCGTTTTTTCTGGACTCTGGTTGTGTGGGGGACCGCTGATGGCATTTCTCGTCATGGCAGTGGTGTAGGGTTCTTGACGGTTCATTTCTCTTACCCCTTGTTGTCTTTGGTGGTCAACGTTTTCTGTGTGCTTTCCTGGGTTGTGGGTAGGTTGTGGCTTTGTCCACTGTGTTTGACCATTTGTTGGGTTAAGGGTTGCACTTGAGGGTTCTAGTGTTCTCAGATCTTGGCGGCTTGTTACTTGGTTATTGTGCCATGGCCGTGACGAGCCTGTGTAGTTTTGAGTCACTTTCCTGTCTGTTTCTCCTTCTTGGGGTTATGGTCTTCTTTTTCTTCACTCTTGTTGTTTTTCCCCTTGTACTTTTGTTTTGTTTTGTGGTGAGATAGCAATAGGGAGCTGCTGATGGAGTCTGACCAGAGAACCAGCATTGAATGTAATGAAACTCCTCTTTCTGGTGGGTTCTTTTGCAGCTCACCATTCCCATTTTTAGGTGCATTGAGGGTCTTTTGGCCTTTGATTAAAGACTGGCAATGTAGGGAGGTAGAATAATGTGTCAACTGGATCTTGAAGTACCAGGAGGAGGTAGCAGCATTATAACAGTGTTTTCAGTATGGTTGAGAGCGGCCTGGCTACTAAAATTACAAGCTTCCAGGCCGCTCACAACCATCCTGACGACATTGATCTACACCCTCATCATCTCTGGTGAACACAGTGATCTAGGCATTTGGCTCCCCTACTGCTCTACCTGTTGTTCACTGGTACCTGCCACAGGTCAGTCACTTAGCAGTCAACTCCTTCCTGTCCAGTTTCAGTTCACGTAAGTTCGTGTGCATATACACCTATTTTTATGCATTTTTAGAATTAGGTTGAATTGTGTTTTAAATGGATTAACATGTCAGATACTTGATAATGTATGCTTGGGACCAGGTGTATCGTGTGTTAATTTGGTATCATTGTTTCAGTCTTGTTAGGGCTTCCATAATGTGGATAAATGGTGCAAGGGACTGGTACAGTATACCTGAACAGATGCATCTGCAAGTACAGTGGAACCTGTACAGTTTTGAGCTGCCTTACTCTGATATAATACTCTGCTAGAGTATTGCTTGTTTGCTCTAGTTCTGCTCAAGGAAGTGGGTGTGTTCAGAGTTCATGTGGGCAGTCATTTTATTACATTCCTTGCTAGTCCACATAGTCTAGATGATTTCCTTCTTTCTTGGCCCCTTTCCGCTGCAGCATGGCCTCGGGGCACTTGTCTTTTGACTGGCTTTGCTTCAGTTTGGGTTTTTGTGTTCCTTTTGGTTCACCTCGTGCTGTGGTTGGTTCCGGGATGGGGTTTTGTGCTGGCTAGGTTGTTTCGTTTTTTCTGGACTCTGGTTGTGTGGGGGACCGCTGATGGCATTTATCGTCATGGCAGTGGTGTAGGGTGCTTGACAGTTCATTTCTCTTACCCCGTGTTGTCTTTGGTGGTCAACGTTTTCTGGGTGCTTTCCTGGGTTGTGGGTAGGTTGTGGCTTTGTCCACTGTGTTTGACCATTTGTTGGGTTAAGGGTTGCACTTGAGGGTTCTAGTGTTCTCAGATCTTGGCGGCTTGTTACTTGGTTATTGTGCCATGGCCGTGACGAGCCTGTGTAGTTTTGAGTCACTTTCCTGTCTGTTTCTCCTTCTTGGGGTTATGGTCTTCTTTTTCTTCACTCTTGTTGTTTTTCCCCTTGTACTTTTGTTTTGTTTTGTGGTGAGATAGCAATAGGGAGCTGCTGATGGAGTCTGACCAGAGAACCAGCATTGAATGTAATGAAACTCCTCTTTCTGGTGGGTTCTTTTGCAGCTCACCATTC